CCCTGAGCATCACCCCATGTTGGGACACTGGCCAGGCACCACGCAGGGTCAGCATCACAGCACCCATCACTTTGCTTTTCACCCATGTGCAAAAGGAGGGGGAGAACGCCGGGTCCTGCCTCATCCTTCCTGCTCCCTGCCAGCTTCCATTTCCCTTGGGATGCCACGCTCTGGGTATCCCAACTCTAAGCCATTAATTCTTCTCAAGAGTTTGCAAATGAACACGTGCTAATTAAGCAGTGGGATGGGTGCTCAAGTCCAGTGGAAGCTGGAGCAAAGCAGCATCCCAAGGTGGGCCATAACCCACCATCAAGCCACCCTGACCCCAAAGGGGAGAAAAACCCATTGGGACAAGGGGTGTCAACCATAGCCATAAAAACACCCTCCAAACACCCCCAGAGCTGGAGCAAACCCCACCAAACCCCAGCAAGACGAAGAAGCGGGGATGAAGAATAGAAGAAAGGAGGATGAACAGCATGACCCCCCCTGACCCGGAGCGTGCAGCCCTGGCTTTGTGCAAGCCCCTTCCCCCCTAACTCCTGCCTGTACAATCAGGGCAGCTGCCTGGAACGGGGCCGGCTGCCGTGGGGGAGAGGGCAAGGGGGCAGAGAGTAATTTATTTACTCCTTACAATGTGCTGTTTGAACAGACTCCTAAAGAAAACGGAGGAGGAAGCAGCGCTCTGCCAGGCGGGAGGAAGAGGAGGAGGAGGATGGGGGGGGGGGGATGTGAGGAGGGGGGAGATGGTCCTAAATGGATTAAAAATTTACCCTCCAACTGTGGGGCTTTAATTGATACACAGGGAGGGGGCGAGCGGTAAGATTTCCCTCTAATTGTATTAAAGATACACTAATTAGGTTGATTAAAACCAGAGAGGCTGCTTCTTTCTTTCCCCAGAAGGCCTAAGGGATGGCAATAGGGAGGGGGGAGAAGTGCCAACAGATTGGAGCCCTAAAAAAGAAAGGAACGAGAGGGAAAAGAGCTCAGCCCTTGCGAGAAGTGCACCAGGGAGAGCAGGAGCAGTGTCCCAAGCATGTTAGGATGGCCAAAGCTTTGCCTTTGCCACAGCAATTAAGTACCAAGGAGGCGGAGGCACCCTCACAGCTCCAGCACCCCAAATTCTCAGGCTTTACTTAACCTGTGATGCCCTAAAAATGCAGTTTGCAGTTATTTTGCCCATTTTGTGATTTTTTTATCAGTCTTATCCATACAAGTTGCTATAAATCCTGGTGGGTACATAGATGCGCACGCGTATTATAAAGCTTTAAAATAGGGACTCTACTTTTCCCCCAGGGAGAACAAACCTAAAGCAGTCTTTTTAAATGCTTAGTCCCCTCCTAAGAGATCCCAGCTATTACAGGATGAGCATTGAAAGGGAGAGGATGAACAAAGTCACCTCAATCACCAAAACTTCCCGCTGATCCCTTCTGATCTCTTGTGATGCCAACCCTCATTACAGCACCCGCTGAGTGGGGTCTGAAAGCCCATCCAAAACCCTCTTCAGAGCCCATGTCATCTCCTTACCTGGGGATTCCTGGAACCACCTGAGCTTTCCTCTTTCTGTAAGAAAGACAAAAAGGTACTATTCAGCCCCAGGAAAAGTTTACCCTGTGACAGGTTTTATTGCTCGTGTATGAGGCCATGGCTAAGTGAGCTTTCCAATGGCCAAGCTGTAAAACAGAATGGCAAAGAAAGAGCTGTGACTTTAAGGGAGATAAACAACATTGTGTGTTTTCTTCCCCCCTTCCTCTTCCAAATGACCATTTTCTCCTTAGCCTGAAACCACGGGATGAAGGGCAAACTCAAATTGAGGAAGGAAGCTGATGCTTCCATTACTGCATAATCAGGGACTGAAACTGCCATCAACAGAACCGCCTTTGCAACCCAAAGCTTTCAGATAAACTCGAGTGAAAGGAAGATCATTTTCTTTGTGGGTCTTTATGTTCCTGAACCACCACCTCCCTTCTGCCCTTTCCTCTTAATGGTTGGTTAGAAAAGAGGAGAACTGTAGGGCTCTGAGATGTGCGAGCTCAGGATATGCAGCTAAAGAATGGTTCAGGTTGGAAGGGACCTTTCAAGGTCATCTATCCAGAGGTCTGGGCTACAGTGATGCCCTGAGAAGGCAACTAGTCCCAAAGAGGCTGGAAGAGTGACTGAATTGCCATCACCCAAGGGATGAGGAGACCAGAGGCAATTTGCCCCCTTTTCCCCTTAAAAGACCTCATCTTTCAGGCTGCCCAAGCCTGGGTCTGTCCCCACACCTGAGTTCACCCCTGTAAAAGCTGCTGGTGTCTCATCTCTACATGTGTTTCAGTTGGACATCACTACAGCAAGGTGGTTATCATGGTGCAGTTTGTGCTTGCTGGGAAAATCCACCCTTGAGCATGACTGCATCCCCCAAAGCAGAAGTGTGGGGTGATTTTGGGAAGCTTGCTAGTGTTAAGAGCCAGATTTGCTCCCACCATGTGGGAATTAAACATGCAGCTAATAGGAGAGGGGGGAAAGGGTGTTTTTCCAGAACCAAAAGGAGTTTTTCCCCTTTACCAGCACTGAAAGGGTGCTCTGCTTGCCCAGCCTGTCTGGAGGATGCTGAAGCAGTGGCTGGGACCACAGTCCTGAAGCCAGCCATATCATCAGCAGTATTCCCAGCAAACACAAGCTTGGGGTTTTTTTGCATGAAGACGACTGGCTGAACTTGATTTAAAATCAAACCTGAAACTGTCTTTAGCAGATTAGGATTACTGTCAATATTTCATAGAGCTGAGGCAGCTTTGGGGTCTCACTGAAGCCCTGGGAAAGCCTCCAGGTAGACATTTGTAAGGCCAGAGGATATCTTTTCCCAGGAAATTAATGCTCACAAATTGAACCTGCTCAGCCTTACATGGTTCATCCAAATCCTTGAAACAGCACCAAACTAAGCAGGGACTGGCAAAGACAGAGCTCGAGACACAGGATGCAGCCTGCCTCTGTGCTTCAGCAGCAAAACCATCTTGTTCCATCACTCCCACCTATAACTGGTATTTGCTGGTTTAAGCTGGTGGGGCTGCTGTTTCATCCACCAGCAGATAACTGGGAGGTGCTGCAGCAAGAGACTAAATGGTGTGTAAGCTTGATTTCGCCCTTACCCAGTGACACAAGCCAAGCGATCAGTGTTATTCTGAGCCCATATTGACCATGCTCATCAATCCCCGTGCTCCTGGAGTCAGGCGATTTGAAAGCAAATATAAAGACTCCATGTTTTCTTATGTTTTTCATTCTCCTTTAGGCAGTCTAAAGGCTTTGGCAGGGCAAGGGTGTGCAGTTGCTGCACGCCAGAGCTGTGGCAACAAGCACGCACTACAGCAGAGCCTTCGCATCCTTTCATCTCCAAGTGATGGGGCGCAGAGCTGAGCGCGCGCTCACTCGCTCTCCTCTTGAAAGCATCTCTTGGCTTCAGAAGCTTCCCCATCCCCTTTGACAAACACCTCCAGCCTTTGTAGGTGACTATCACACTCTGCCACAAGGGATGTGCCCCACCAGCTATTCCCTCTGCTGCACAAAAAGCACCACTTTAAAGGCAGCTTTTGATTGCGTTTGAGTTGGCTGATACATGAACAGTCTCCGAGCAGCAGCAGTTTGCTCTGGCTGGAGGGACCGCAGTGCATGCCCAGGGCATGCCAGGAGGGTTTGCAGTGTGGTGGTGGATGCTGGCAGGTGGAGAACAACCAAGGCAATTCCCTGCAGCACTTTGGGTGCTCTGATGCAGCCAGACTTGAACTAAGGGTGCAGCAAGGGAGTAGGAGGAAGGCAAAGGGACATCAGCATCCTCACCCAGCTCCCAACCTGCTCCTGCTTTGCTCCCCTCCATCAGGACAATGTTTGCATTTGGAATATTCTAACCACTGTGATTCTAAGTGACTAAAAAGCAAATCAAGCTCTTACTAGAAAATGACTTGATTACACCTTCCCTTTTCACCATGGAAATGACAACCGAGGTTGTAAGACAGCGGCGACCTCAGCTACCCAGGTCTCCCATTGCGCATCGCTTTCAAACTACACAAGGCAGCAATTGGAAGTAGTACCGCGCTCGCTGGAAAATGAAGTTTGAGGAGGACTAAAAATATGAGCAAATTTAGGTTGAGGAAAGGGGAGGAGGAGGAGAATGGATTTAAAAAATGTCAAAACACTCAGATGCAGCATTTTTAATGAAATGTTTCACTTCGGAAATGCCAAAACATTTTGTTTTGACATTATCGAAATGCAACTTAATGGTATTTTGCTTCGCAACAGCATGGATCGCTTTGTAATAACCCAACTTAGAGGGGACAAAAAATAGGCGGAGAGAAATGTAAAGGCTTGAGGGCCACCAAAACAGAACAAACTTGTCCCCATCCTTCCAGCAATGCGTTGACGTGGAAAGAGCATTTCCTTCCCTCCTGCTGCCATTTTGCCAACAAATTTAAGTGTTTTCTGTTTCCCTTCACATTTCACTAACGAGTTCCCCTCCTTTTCTGCATTGAAAACAGACTCTCGCCTTCACCCGCCTTCCAAGATCCTCCCTTCTAGAGATGCTCTTCCCAAGTTTGGCCTTGCCACAGGAGCTGGGATAAATCCCTGTGTCCAGGGCTCAGCCCACTGCATCTCCCAGCCCATAAAGGTTTTAATACAAGCAGCAACTGCTTTCCCTTCCTTGGGAGAGGAGCCTCATTCCCTATTGTTCTGTGCTGAGCATCCTGCAGAATGAAACCTTTCTCTATAGTATCACCCATGCTAAAAATCACCCTTTCCCTTGGTCTCCTGCCACACTTTAGAGGCAGTGCTGGCCTCCCAGACTGGAAGAAGCGGTACATGAACCCAAGGAGACCATAGTTCAGCATCACACCCAAACCTCTTTGGTGGCAGGGCAGAGGGGAGAAGTTTGGTCCACAGCCAACCAGCAGCATCCTGCATCCTGAGCCCTCCACCCCTGCACAGACAGTGATAAAATGGACCATGAAAGTTTATCAGCCATGAACCAAATAGCTGTTTACATGTGTTTATTATGCACTTATTTGTGATCTGCAGCCCTGCTTGTAATGCCTCATTCATAATAGTTACTATCCTGTGCTGAGCCCCTTTAGCCTGACATCAAACGGGTTCAGGGAGCTGGGGATGCATTTCTGGAAGCAGCCCTCATGAAAGGGAAAAAAGGAAGCATCTGATTAACCCTCAACCCCAGCTGAGGGCTCCAGGTCCCCTCAATATGCTTTTGGACATGGGGTAGGACTCCTCAAGCTGCCAAGTGGCAAGGGGAGCCCATCACGTGGCATAATTCCAGGCTGAAGCACGGATGCTAAGGGCCTTTCTGGGTAAATGAAACCCTTGCAAAGGGAGAAACACAAACAGAAAGAGTTGCAAGCTGGGAAAAGAGCAATGGAAAGCTCAAATCCCCAAAATGGAATGAGTCAGGTACCTTTTGCAGGCTCCTCTTGTCGCCTCTAAGCCCAGGGATGAGTGGTGCAGCTGAAGGGATTGAAGCTGGGGCAGCTTTTGGCTCCCAGGACAGGAGGATGGATGACTCTCTTCTCCCAGGTTAGGAGCTGAGGCCGTTGAGAGCAAATTGGCAAAGCCAAAATAAGCCAAAAAGCAGCAAACCTGCATGGGGAAACAAAAGCAAACTGTCAATTCTTGTTGGAAAACACACACCCAAGGAGGCAGCACGTCATGGAGAGCCAAACCCAGCAAATCCTGGCAAGCTTTCACTGAGGGAAGGAGGTATCAGAGACCCACATAACCCTGGCACATCCCTGAGCTGTGCTGCATTAGGCTGGCACAGGGTCCAGGCTTAGGAATAGGCCATCAAAGCCTTGAGCAGCCTTTTCTTTCAGAGGCTCAGACACGCATGTTTCACTGTGGGATATTGCACTTTGCTCAGTGCAGAAGAGATCAAAACTAATGAATTGCTTGCACACCCCCTGCACATGCAGACCTGTATTTACATATGGAAATTAAATCCTTGGCTATGCAAAGCCAAGCACATCCAATGGATTTACAGCAGGCTCCTTACCAAAGCTTGCTTGGAAGTGTCTTCACAGCGCCAAGACTTGGGGGTTGAGCCACAGCGTGTCCCCAGGTGCCTGATGGCAAAGGGACAGGGAAGTGTTTGAAGATGCCCTTGACCATGGTGCCCTTGGCACTGTGGTTACCCCTGCAGCAAGAGCACGTTGTGCCTGGCCAGCTCCATACCTCAGAGAGGGAGGTTGGACCCAACATCCCTCCATTTGCTAATGAGACTTCTGCATCCCATTTAAAGGACAGTGCTGCTTATTAAGCAATTTACTCCTTTCTAATTGAAATTATCCAGTACTCCAGGTTTTGTGCTTGCAGCTGAGTGCTCCCAACTGGCCGCACTCTCAGTGAGAGGCAGAGATTTAAATACCCAGCCCCTGCATGGATGGTGGTACAAAACAGAAAGGGAGAAAGCAACAACCCCCCCCCAAATGTGAACTGTCCCTTTAATTCCTGTCAAGGCTGAAGCCCACAGACTACAAAAACAACATTTTAATTTAAATTCTGCTTCCACATTCATTCATGGGAGCTGGCTCTGAGCGGGGATTTCATTAAAGGCTTTAATAGATTTTATAGGACTTGTCAGATCCGGAAAGGTTACGGAGCAAATGCATTTTCTCTGCTTCCAGAATTTCAACAACGGCTCGGTAAACAAATTTACCATGAAAATGCAAAGAGTCCAACCTTGTACAGACAAGGAGAAATGAACTTCATCTGAGTGACTTAAAGGCATCAAGATGCATTGTCAGTCCCCTACCGAGCTCGCCTCGCTCCTTTCCCTCAGTATGCTGCACAGGTCCAATGAGGTTTCTTTTTTGGGTGGAAAACCAGAAAAGGAGAAACATCTTTTCCATTTGTCACAGTTGGATTGGGAGATATTAACAAATGTTGGCAGCTTTAGGAGCAATGCATGGGCAGGAGTCTTAGGAGGGGCTGTTAACAGAGCTCTCATCTGAGTACAGCTCGGACCTCATGCAGCTGATTGACCCACGGCAGTGGGCTTTGCAACTAGAAGTTGCTTGGCTAAAAGACCTGGGTATTGGAGCAGAGGCTCTCACACATCACCTTCATTGACCTTCAGCTGAATGAAGGTGGTGTATGGGAGAGTGAAGAGGCAAGAGAGCTAACAAGAGCCTCAGCTTTGCTGTTAACCCATCAAGGGCTTCATGACCCCTTGCTCCAGGTCCTTCATGAGAACCTTTTTCCATTCAGCAGGGAGGATGAAGGTGATTTTGATTGTACAAGCTCCAATAAAGCATCCTTTTGCCAGAGTTTCTTCCACCTTCATTTTGCCCTTGACAAAATAGCAGGTCCCAGTATCAGGCCCAAGAAGGGCAATGGTGGCCCATCATGGGGACATGGTGCTGCTCAGCTGCAAGATGGGCGCTGGGATGGCTGTGATCACCGGGAGGTGTCGGGCATCCCTGGCTAGAGCCAAACCACAGGAACCAAAGGCTGACGCCTCAGCAACCAAGTCGTGGTGATGCTGAACAAAGTGAAGCAAAGACCTCTTGTTTTTGGATGAGCTCTGTTAACAGAGATGAATGTCAGAGGAGGTTTTGCCTGAGCATCCTTTATAGGCTGTATGGTGGCATCACGGGAGACATCAGCTCGGAGAGAATTATAACTAATGCAAACCCTCCAACCAAAACCTTTTTTCTGCTGGAGGGTGAGACAAGTTGATGACTTTATTATTATTATTACGGCGATGATTATTTTCCCTCCTTATGACTTTGCAGTTTGAGATTGACAGGTCCTAACACAGCTGCTCTGGATCCTTTCCCAGCCCCACAAAGAGAGCGGCAGTGTGAAAAGCAGCCGGGAGGTTCGAGAGCTGGGGATGGGGCTCAGCAGCAATGCCACAGAGACCCCATGGATGTGGGACGCAGCACGGAGAGGTGGAGAACATCTGGGAGTGCCTTTCACTGGGAACAGGCGCTGCAGGTGGCTGGGATGTGGCTGACGGCTACGCTGTAATTATAGGAAGCTGAGGAAAGAAGCAGATTTAAATCAAGCGACTATGGAGCTCAAGCATGAGAATTCCCTATGTAATTTATGGAGCATTAAATAGCCTAAATATTCCATCCCCATGAGTTATTCTCATAGCTAATAGCTCTCATTTTGAGTCAGTTTTTTCTATGATTCACCTTAATTTGGGTTTTTTTCCCCTAGTTGGCAGGTACCACGTTAAAATCTCCTGTTTGCTTCTTTAGGAAGCCTGGGAAGGGCTGTACCTGTGAAACACATACAGATGCAGCCTCGGGGTCCTGCTGACACATCTAGGACACACTGACAGCCATTTGGAAGGTGTCAAACAGCCTGGATGGTGCTTCTGAAGACTCATCCATCCCAGCTCAAGAGGCCCTGTACAATCAGTTCTAATGCAGAGAAAAACCATGTTACATTAACCCAGATGAGTATGATGAGCACATGCAGACCAGAGGGTCAGAGATCAGACAATCCCAAGTTGGAAGCAACTTCAAGGATCATCTGGTCCAGCCTTTTTAGGCAAAGCATGACCTAGGGGAGATGTCCCAGCACCCTGTCCAGCCAAATCAGGCTGACAAGCACTGAACACCCCTGGATATCCCTGATCCAGCCTCCTGCTCCAACCAGGCCTAAGTTCAGCATGAAGTCAGGATGTCAGAGCCTTGTCCAGTCAAGCTTTGTAAAGGATGGAGATGCCACCGCCTTTCTGCCAGCACAACTGTTGCTTAAACTGCCCCTTTTCACAGGAGACAGGAGACACTTTTCCCTCCTGGCTGGGATGCCCCAGTCTGTACCTAACTTTCAGACTGCTCTGATGTGCAGTTCGGTGGGAGCATCCCCCTCCTCACTTACTGGTGTCTCCCATGCACCCCTCGCACAGATCACACACAGAAAGCTCTTTTCATCCCATCCAGCAAACTGGCTTGAAGTCGGGACAGGGCTGCGAGCGTCCAGAAACACCAGAGCCAATGGGGACCACACTATCCAATCACAAAGGAATAGGAAAACCTTTTTCCCTGCTGCCATCTGCAGTTTGGGCTGCGGCAGGAGGCTGGGAACCGGGGGCAAGGCAGCAAGAGGAAGGCTCAACCCCAGATAGCGATAAAGCATTTCCAAGCACAGGCTCCTCCGCCAGCACCCGGGGATGTGCTGCCATCTATTGATGCAAGGGATGCAGTGTCCTGCTTAGGGATGCTCTCGGCGGCAGCTCTGCAGCAGGGATGAAGATAACTTCAGTGTCTATGAGGTAAGGATGAGCTGCACAGACCCGAGAGCCTGGGACACGCGGTTTGGTCCCTGCTGTACAAAGCTTTGCTCTTAAAGGGACCTCAAAGCTGGCCTTGAGCATGATGCGGTGCAAAGCACGTCCTGCTCGGTGGCTTCTCCTCTGGTTGAAGGTGAAGGACAGCGCCTGGAGCACCTTCAGGCACTGCTCTGAGCTGGATTTTCCAGCATTACCCTGTTGCTGCAGATGAAGAGAGCTCTGCTGTGCCAATGCACCAGAGACAAGACCCTGCACACGTTCAGAGATAGGTGGCCAAGAAGACTCCTGCCTTTCCCCTTCCCTCCTTAAAGCTACAAGCTCATTCTCTCACAGTGATTTTGGAGCCAGATCGGGCTCTATCTCCTCTGGTGATCTGGTGAGGTGTGAGGGCACGAGGGGACAGCATCCTCTCCATGGCATCACCTCAATTGTGAGCGCTGCTTTACAAACTCCAGATGGGATTCTAAGCCTGTTCCTGCTCCAGGAACACTGACATTCTTAGCCTCATGCACGTCCTCTTCCAGGACTAGCTGATGGCAAAGGGATGAATCCCTACATCTGCGTCTCCTTGGGCACCACAAGAAGCTTTCGCAGCAGGAAAGAGAGGAGGAGGAAGATGGCTGAGTAACCGCATGGCTTGGAATCAAAGAATCCTGTTCTCTGTACCTTTGGCTTCCTCTGCGTAGTTTCACATTCACCCTTTCCAGACAGCTTTTTGATTTGCATCTCCTGTTCCCCCTTCCTTGTGCTCCCAGGGTGGTGGGATGGATGGAGAGAGGAATTCAAACCACACTGAAAGGGCACGGCAGAGCTGTTCCAGCCACGATGTGATAACAAGGGGTCACACAGACCTTGCATGACCAGGGATGCAGCAGGAGACAGAGCAAGCATCTAATCCAGCCTGAGCTTCTAATCCAAGGGAGGTTTGAAAAGAACAGTAATAAATGGCTCTAAGTTAATTTTGAGCTGGTTTATTTTGGGGACACACAAGGAAAAAGCAGTAGAGCCCCTGCCTGGGAAAGATCTGGGTGGGGGGAACGGGCCTGTTCAAACAAACAGGAGTGATGATGCTTCAGGATAAATAAAGCAGAGAGGATGCACACTGGTGCGTGCTATGGGGGAAATGAGGTCAGGCTCTGTGAATGGCTCTTTAGCAAGCAAAGACAACTTCAAAGTGCCTCGAACTTGCTTGGGAAGGTTTCCAAGGACAAAAAAAGGACCCTGTGAGCTCAGCCCCCTCCCTCAATGCAGCCTTTGTGGTGCTCCCACTTCCAGGACAGGCAGCATTCCTTCCTGCTCCCTCTTCCTCCAGCCCCGGAGCTGCAACAGAGCC